AGCACATACTATATATACTTATGTATATAATTTAAATGCGATCAGAACGGTTACAATATACCCAAGTGTGAGTACCTTCAAATCGCTTTAAGTGCCCTCTTCCAATAGTATTGGTTTTCTGAAGTACCTACTTAGACGGTTTGGATACTTAATCGAACATTCTATCATACAATTACACTACTACGTTAAGCTGCACCTAAAGTAACTTTAAAAGAAAATACTTTTTGCTCAAAATTAATTACACTGGTCTACAAGGGTTTTGCGAATAAGACGGGACCTGGTGTTTCCGAACGGATTTTTCGTGCTGAACACGAATCTGGGGTCCAAAACTTCCCATCACGTCACGTTTTCGAGAAAAAAGGGGTTGAAACCCCTAAAAACAGCGTTTTTGGCCATTTTTGAAAAATTGTAGAGCTGAACCCTGACGTGCTACAAACTTTGTATATGTCAGAAATTAAAGGCTAAATCGTGCCCTTTCGAATGAGCCCTATGCCGAATTAATCGCATGCACCCTTAGATCAGGGGGTGTATTTGTGTCTAGGAGTCCAGGGAAAATTGATCGCAGAAAGAATTTCATCTTAAACGACCATATAAAATGAATGATGCTAAGGTCTTAACTACATTAAGAGTCGCTGATTACGAATCTGAAGTTAGATTTTAAAAATTCAAAATGGCGGATCCAATATGGCGGACTTAAAAATTTTTATTTAGCGAATTTCAGTTTATTTTTTATATCCACCATATTCGACCCGTCATCTTAAATTTTTAAAATCTAACTGCAGATTCGTAATCAGCGACTTTTAATATAGTTAAAACCTTGGCATTATTAATTTTCTATGATCGTTTAAGATTAAATTCTTTCTGTGATCAATTTTTCCTGCACCCCTAAACACAAATACACCCCCTGCTTTAAGGGTGCACGCGATCAATTCGGCATAGGGCTCATTCGAAAGGGCACGGTTTAGCCTTTAATTTCTGATATATGCAAAATTTGTACCACGTCAGGGTTCAGCTCTATAATTTTTCGAAAATGGCCAAAAACGCTGTTTTTAGGGGTTTCAACCCCTTTTTTCTCGAAAACGTGACGTGATGGGACATTTTTGACCCCGGATTCGTGTTCAGCACGAAAAATCCGTTCAGAAACACCAGGTCCCGTCTTATTCGCAGAAAAAAAGTTGAAATTTGTAGACCAGTGTTATTAAAAGCTAATTCACATATTTTACATATTACCGAAATTGTTTGCTTTACTTTATAAAGTGACATTTTCATACAAAGTTTCGATTTATAAAGCTGTTTAATTTTTCTTTATTTTCTATGAATTTGGGTGTATATTTTTTTATGTTTGCTTTTTTTTTGCTTAGTGAAAATCGCTGCATCTTTATCAGTTGTTACTGATTGAATAACTGAATTTAAATAGAATTTGCAGCACTTTTATGTGTACGTCAAAACTTAAGTGAGTGCCGTGTAAATATCTTCTGTTTAAATTTAATAATAACAAATGACATGCTCAGTGCTTAATTGAATAAACAGGGTGATTGTAAACGAAGCTTTTCTAAGGGTCGTACTAAATAAATATGGTGATATTGGGACGCAAGTATGCATAAAAGCTAAGCAATTGCTTATTCTTAAAATTTTATACATTTCACTTGAATTTATTTGAACAAAGCGAGTCAAAGGTCTGAAATTTTAAGAAAAAACATTTGCTTAGTTTTTATGCATACCGCACATTGGCTCCATATATGTCGATTTAATAATAAGAATACTTTTATTAGGACTAAAATTAAAGGTCGCGTTTTTTTTTAACTATTTTTTCGATCTCAGTTTTATTTGGAGTTCACTTTTGTATATTAAATATATTAAAATAAATGAATATTGCCACAGAAAGCAAACTACCCTTTAAATCATTATATTGAACCGCGAATAAAACCTTGGAACAATTTTATGGGGGTGTTTTAGAGCACCAACGAAATAATGCCCAAACGTTTTGGTCACAAATTAATCGTTCCATGTATTAACCTGTATAGATGCTAGAGTCGAGTTTTTTTAAAAATCCGTTTTTATAGTCCAATTTGGTTGAAAAAATTCATAATTCCATAAAAAGATATACTTTAGCAAAAAATTGACCTAGTAGATGGCGCTCTTTCTTTTCAACTTTTTCATGACGTTATAAGGGTGTTAGATTTTTTCCAAAACCGGTTTTCAAGTTATTCGAAAAATTGCAATTTGAAAAAAAAAACGGTTCCTGATTTTTAAACTGAAAAAAAACCGGTTAAACCGGTTTTATTTCAAATAGTTTTCATTCGGTGAAAATGCATATGCTAGTATGAAGTAATGACAAAAAATTACAATTAAACTATTAGCAGTAAAGATATCTTTTGTTTAGAAGAGAGCAAAACAAAATACGTTCAAAGTTTTTTTTTAGATCAAAAGTAAATCAAATAAAAATCTACGAAAAAAACCACGCTTCTTCTTATTTTAAGTATTTTTTTATATGTTTTATTGCATTTTTTCAGACTTTTTCGGATCTGAGTAGTATCTTGTCACCGTAGCCGAGTGCTTAGATGTGCCGTCCATGGTTTAATTTCTGGTGCCAGCAACATCAAAATAAAATGTTTTCAAATAGCGGTCGCCCCTCGACAAACAACGGCAAAGCTTTTCGAAGGTAAAAGTGTAGATCTCACACGTAGAAATCGTTTAAGCGCCAAACATTCATTTATTGGAATCAAATGTTCACTCCGAAATAAATATAGCCTAGGATATAATTTAATTAATTTAATATTTGGTTTCCCTTAAACTCGAAAAAGCCTTGAAAACTTCGAAATACTCAAAACTTTTATTGAGAGGGCATGGAATGTGCGGCCATTATTTTGCAAGTAAATTTAATTTTAGGATAAATCCGGAACTTTGCGTAATGTATTATTTATCTTCAAAAAAATATAAATAAAAAGTTTTGAGATGAAGTGAGAGTGGATAGCAGTTAGTTACACGGCTCTAAGAGCTATACGACTTTACTTTGTAGATAGCTAAATAAAGATGATCTAAAGGACAAGAACTTGGTTCATGGATCAATGGAGTTGCATGTCAGTCATCTATCCTAGACACATCAACGAGTCACAGATGTATGAAGCAAATGTATTTGCCACTCAGGATTCCATGCGGAATTTCGCACAGAGATCTACCACAGAGAACAAACGAGCACTTATCTTCTAAAGCAGTCAGGGAAAGGAAAAGTCCCTCTCTGAAGGAAATAGCCCCTTTAAAGAATGGAACTCATGTAGTTGCCTTGGCGCATGGATATTAAAAGCAATGGCAAACAAGACGAATTATTAATCCTTCCCAGAAAGGGCATGGTAGGTGTATCGCTGGCACCCTTTGAACGATATTTAAGAGATCACACAGCTTAATTAACTGTTTGATTGTGAAACACAGAAAAGTCCTACCTCTCCTGTAATAGAAAACGCAAGTGTCTCCTTATAAAGACTTTTATGTACTACTGCCTAATTCATTACTTGAAATGAGATTATTTTCGTAGGGAAGATTACGTACTCTTGGTCATCAGAAAAGTTCATAGTGTCAAAAAAGTGGTTTGCCTTCGAGTGAGCTCATCAACTTGAAAGGCATTAGTTAGTAATTTCATATAGTATCATAGCGCTACAATTCTTAGCCTAGGTGTTCTAGGGTCATTTCAACCTAAATATTTTTAACCGACTTCCAAAAAAGGAGGAGGTTATCAGTTCGTCGGAATATATATTTTTTTTTTTTTTATGTATGTTACCGCATAACTTTGCACCACGTCAACCGATTTCAATAATTCTTTTTGCAACGGAAAGGTAGTGTCTCAGAGGTGGTCCCATACTAATTTAGAGCCGATCATGAAATATATAGATATATATATATTTTTTTAAGTCGGTTTTTTTTGCTAAAAATTACTGGTTCATTATTTCTGTTTCTAGGAAAAGTACTTTGCGGTTGCTGTAAATTTTGTTGAGGAAATAAATATATGAGCATTTATTTCTTAGGAGCTGTATACTGATTTAAGAAATTTTGATAGAAGAAAATTTCTTTTCCGTTGAGAGCTGCAAACAGACCTTACAGTATACAAGGAAAATCTGAAGAAATATGTTCTAAAAAAATTAGAATACTGAATTTTACTAAGGTTTATCGAAAAAACCGTTGTCAGTTGGCGGGTAAGGTACATACAGCTCGTAGCTCCCGGTTTGAAACCTAAAAACCAAATTAAAATTCATATTCCGGGCTGAGCAAAAGAGTCAAAACTTTTGTTTTTTTTTTTGGTCCAAGAGATTAAATCTCCCCCCAGATATATTTTACGGAAACTCTGCGAATTTATTTCATTTTTCTGTGTGAACTTGATGTTTTATAATAAAACAAAGAACTACGAATACAAACAAAAAAAACTACAACAAAAATTAATGCTTATAAAAAAATCCGAAATTCCTCTGTCAAGGGTGGGTCACATACGAATTTGTATATGAAAAGGAGCTTTTAGTGTGGTCCATATTAAAGATTAGTTATTAAAGAATATAAGAAGGCAAGTAGGGGTTCAATTCACTCACGTTTTATCTTAGGATAGTGCCTTTTATATAGAAGAAACTGCCTAGCACTGTCAGCCAAAAAAAATATTAAAATTCAACGCGATATCCTAGTGTTTTGAAATTTTCGCTTTTACCTACTTTAATTTAATGCGCTATAAAACTCTGTACCTAGAATTTTTTTTAAATTGTGAACAAAAATTTTCAAATATTTGGGTGTAGATGTTAAAGTTTGTTGAATTTTTATAATTTTTGTACGAAGTTTGAAATGTGGATTTATGTGGTTCTGGTTATGTAATGTGCTAGACTTTTATAAAAAAAAAACTATACACATTAAAAAAAAAACAAAAGAAAAACTCAAAAAAAAAATTTCAATTAACTTAATAAGCTGACCACAAGGGTATATAGGTAATGGGCATGTCCGCGCATCCCCCCTCCTCGCCTGCGTCCGTACTTTAGAATTAAATTATTCCTAAATCTCTCAGAAATTGTTCCCGTCTTCTAAATTTCATCCGGAACCAAGATTTAATACCAAGATCACCCTGTATGTTGGAGATTATGTGTGTAACTAAACTCAACTCGCTACATTTACTTAGATTCAAGCCTCATACTCGTAAGTAGTCGCCAGCATTGAGCGACATTAAATTCAATTTGAGATTAAGTTCAAGTTTAGCGTTACGAACGTAATAAACGCTATGTATCTAAGCTTTTTGTTATTCTTTTGCTATTATCTGCCGTTACTTATAAGTGGTAAGTTTGGAGTAATCAAATAGGTACTCATTAACACTAAATATTTAAAAATTTTCCCTTTTTCCTTTCAATTACTTAAGCTTGCCCCATTTATCTCACCATTTCGTTGGACAGCAAAACCTTGCAAGATGCATACCTCGAAATAAATTGGGGACCCGAATGTCATGATCATCCCGAGTGGATTGGCATTTTCAGTGAAGATCCCTCAACGACCTATTTTCACCCGGAGGCACGTATAACAAATATAAACAACTCGTCCGGCAAAGTTTTGAGCAATGTGAAAGTGGGAAAATTACGCTTCCCACACGGTTGGAATAGCAATGATGATAATACAGTACCCATTGAATATCCAAAAGGAAAATGTCTGCCATATTATGTAGCCAGTTTTAATGGTAGTGAACTACTGACGGTGGAATGCCTGAAGATACAGCCGAATTGGATGTCGAAACTGGAGCATATAGCGCAAATGCCATTGAAGGATCTATTCATACCGGGTATGCATGTATTTGTTGGGCGTAGGTTTCTTTGGATTTATCTGAGCTAACATTTTTAGGCACACATGCCTCTGGCGCTTATGTTAACAATTTAGTCAAAACCAAATCAGTCCTGGTCAAGGATTATGTGGTGGCACAACAATTTGATGTCTGGTCGCAGTTGGTATTTGGTGTACGCTATTTGGATTTTAGCATTGGGTGAGTATCGGTGCAACCAGTTAGATATCTCGGAGGGAAGATAATTCCGTTTGAAAGCCAAAATTCTTATGAAAAAAAAAAATTCGGTACCATATTTTACTAAAGTGAAGACTTTCTCACTTTTAAATTGGTGGAAACCTGATTACAATAGATACAATTGAAAGTGAACTCAAACCTACATAATGAGAGGACCGCATCTCCTGACTAATTAAATCTTGCATAGGAACAAGGGGCAATTGAAAGATAGGTTGGGTTAGGGTCACAAATCGAATCAAGCCATGGGTGGAAAATAAAGCATGGACAACTTAATAATACTTGTTTTTTCTGGAGTAGAAAACCCATTCAGAGCACTTCCTATGACCTAAGCCAGATTTGTTTGAATATAGCTGGCACACTTTTGGATCACCCTATCGTATTAGGACATCAACCAAACTATGCTCAAACAGTAGTATCGGTACGTGGTAAGCAAAGCTTCAGAGAATTGTGCCGCACCTCACCGATTTGTTTTTACATTGGGTTAAGGTTGACACTCATGGGTCACAAAATCAAAAATGTACGCAATTGTCTGTGTAAATTGACACCAAACATAATATTTACTTGTCCACAAAGACTTACAGTAAAATTGAGCGAGAAGCTTTGTCGTAGGAAATTTTAACCCTTACCACAATAGGTCTTCTTGAAGGACCTCTTTAGTGCTTTAAAAATGGCATGTTGAGGGTTAAAATTTTCTTAAAAATTATTAAGCAAGAAATTTTAGTAGGGGTCACCGAGGGTGAAGAAACTGTCTGGTTATACGTGCGCGCACTATAAGTCGCTTTAAATTTTTGTTTTTTTTTTGTAATTCCATAAAAAAGTTCATTTTTAATTAAATAGTTTCATTTGGGCGGCTGCATCTAATGATTTATGTAATTTATTGATTTGACCTAAATTCTTGGCCCTTCTACAGGGCATGAAGGTGGTCCTCACAAGCTCACCAGACGTTGTTCACGTGCTGGTGAGACTCCCCTCCTCATATTCAACACACTCCGAACGCGACTTTTCTTAATGAAGCATCCCAGGCAGGCCAGTCTTCGGCATGGGTCATGGCCGCCATTTTCTGTTAGGTTTAAGTGTAAATTAACTTTAGATTAGATTGGAATTCAATCGGAAATTAATTTCAAAACCAGCCTGCATAAAAATATTTTCAATTATTACGTCGTATCGCTGGTGAGAACCGCTAGAGTACACTGCCGCCGCCCACTGGTCCAAAACTGGAATTTACTGTTCAAAATACTCCAGAGCCTTCAATTTTTGAACCGATTTGATATTTTCTTTAATGAAAGCTAATAAAATTTAGAAGAGAAAGTAGCAATTTTAAAGTAAATCTATTTTCCTGCTCCTGTTAATAAATATTACATAATAAAAACTAGTTGAAAACAATTGTAGTGTTCCTCCTAACCGAAAAATATTTCAAAAGGAAAAATTTAACATTAATTGTCACAAGAAATTAAGATTCTTTAGTGTTTAGAAAAATGTTAGTTATGCAGTTTTACAGCTCATAACATTTTAGAATCATAAAGTGCAAGTTTCATGTGGCATTTGTTTTTAATATTTTTTTTCTGACGGTGCTAGGCATTTTCTCCATATATCTAAAAAGTGAGCTCAAAATGTCAACGAAAGAAAAACTATTAAAAATCAACGCAAATACTTAGGTGCTTGAAACTTTCAATTTATTGCACTAGAGTCTCATGGGCTACAAAAAAAACTGTATAGTGTGACCTACGCTCTACATCTTCTAAACCAAAAGTTAAACTTCAAGACTGCCTGGGTTATCGTCATTCTTCGGCAATAAACCCTTATGAGTATATACGTTTTTTTGTAGATTAATAGCAAAAGAAAACTATAAATAATGCCCATGTCGAATTTCGAAAAAAAGTATTTCTGGTTCACCCTAATGTCTACATGCATATTTATATGCATATGTAGGTATTAGATATTTTAGTATGAGCCTATAAATTCTATATCACTCTCCATATCTCTCTTCCAGCTTTGACAAAATTGCCGATGTCTACGATACAAGTAATGCTGATAATTTCTGTATTGTTAACGAAAACAAACTTGTTCAGCCATTAAGAGGCGTTTTAAAAGATGTGAAGCGTTTCGTGCAACTTTCCCATGAGGTCGTTATACTCGATTTCAGTTCGTTTCCTATTGGTAAGTTCATTATAAAATAGCTACATGAATATTTCCGTAGGTAAATATGTAAAAATTATATCACTATGTTCTATTCTTTGCGCAGACTTGGCGAAATTTATTGTGAAACCCATTTATAATAATATTTTATATAGTATTCATTACTGCACAAAACATAAGAAGCTAACCATTATAGGGTGTTTCCACGACGCCCAAATTGCAAAATTTCTACTCTCAGTTTCGATTTGAAATTATAGCTTTTTACACGACCAACTAAATTCCAATATCAAGGCCAGTTTATTTATTTTTTTGTTTTTATTGACATTCGTTTTTTCTTCTTCTTACATTCGATCGTATTTTTTCGGGAAGAAACTGGTCAAAATGTCCGGTACCTATTCTTTCACATGACAGTAGGTACACATATGCATTAGGGCGGAGTAATTTAATTTCGTAAAAATTATATGGCATATTCGAATTATACGTTCGATTCTAAGCCAAAATTGTGAAAGAACTATATACCAAAAATTATGTTTGACACTCCCAATTATAAAAAGAAAAATCGGTGTATTATAATTTTTTCTTAACGAAATTAATTTTTTGTATACAAAAATTTGTCTTTTCTACATATTTAATGGCGTTTTTGTTTCTACAAAAAATGTTGCCTTCTCATTGCACTTTGCTTAGTAGGTGTGCGTAGAGGGCAATAAGAAGGCAACATTTTTTGGTAGAAAAGAAAACGCCATAAGAAACTACTTCACAAATTCGTTTATTTCGTATAAAATTTTTTCGAGTAATGAAAGATAAATTTCGACCAAAAAAGTTACAATATAGTACTTTTTCTTTTGAAAATTGGAAAGGTTAAACGTCATTTTTGGTAAATAGTTTTTTCGCCATGTTTGCTTAGAATTAATCGTAGAATTTGAATTTTCTATACGCTTTCTTCGAAAATTATGCTCCGAACGAATTATTCCGTCATAATATACATATATCAATTTTTATAAAGTGTCTCCACGAACAATTCGCTGTTAGCTTATATAGTTTTGTATCAACGACTGGTAAATTTATACTACTTCTAAGCATTAAAAAAAATAGGTAGCAAAAGGGTGTATTTTTCCCTATAAATGCAGCATATTGGAAAAAACAGCAGGTATCAATTTTTGAAATCCAGAAAAGGTATTATGCAAATGATTTTAACTTTCACTGTGTTGTACTATCGAAACCCTTTCTTTAAGGCTTCTACAAGCATCCTGAACGCCATAGTAATCTACTGCATCTTTTACACGAAGAGGTCGGTGATATTGTCTACATAAGAAATACAAGTGCCAGCGAAGGAATGAAGCAATGCTTTGAGCTGACAATCGATGAAATTAGAAAGAATAATAAATACCTTATAATTCTGTATCCTGTACAGGAATTGCCATATCCCGAAAGTGGTAAGTCTAATTAAGGTATTTTATTCCTTTCTCATAAGTGTTTATAATTAAAATTTAATTTTATGCATAGAGTCGAAAATATTATGCCCCAATTGGAAACGTTTCTCCACTGCTTTTATGAACACCTCAGAAGTGTTGGACTACATGCGTTTGTTGTTTAGCAAAAAGGATACATCACCGGTGCAAAATGAAGGTTGGGTATTTCAGGCTACACGCAGCATGGAACAATCATTGGTTGGTAGAAAAACAAAAATAATAATTTTTTTTTAAACTAAGAAATCGTACAAATACAAACTTACATTCCCCTTTTAGAATAACAAAAAACTGGAGACTGCCAAAGAGCGTGCTGGCATTTTGAATCCGAAAGTCACTAGCTGGCTAAAAGGTCCTTGGAGTTTAACTGCAAATGTTGTAGCGCTCGATTATTTTAGCAATACGAATATCATCGATGTCGCCATTTATGCTAACATGCATAAAGCTTTCAATATGGCTAATAAGAACTTTGTGAATTTTGAAATTTTAAGTAATTAGCGTAAGCAATAATTTTTTAGTTTAGTAATTGTGTAAATTAAAATGAATATACTCGTACGTATACATATGGCGCGCATTGTTGCTGCAAAGAAGGACATAACTTACATAAACCATAATGTTGAGAATATCCAAATTCAGACTAGGCATTTAAATGACAAAATTTACGAAAAATTTAACTACCAATAAAAAATTACATGTAATGCCGAATTTCCACCAGGCATTGAAATGACAAAATATGTATGTCATTTAGAAAAAATGCCATGTGGAAATGAACTTAATGACTATTTTTTTAATGTAATGACACGATTATTTTTAATGCCCGACTTTGTCGTTTGTCATTTTTTGCCCTTTAATGCCTAGTGGAAGTCCAGCATAATGACACCCGGTTTTTCAATGCCCAAATGTATCATTAAAATTTTTTGTCACTTAATGCCCAGTGAACATCCGGTATAAGTATATAATAAAGGGTGTCTTTTTAAGAGGTAAAGAAATTTAAATTTAAATAAAAAAGAGAGTACATAATTTGAACTACAGATTTACTTTATCGAAAAAGTAGTTGTATGCCATTAGTGTTTGAATAAAATTCAGGGCATATGGGCGTCGTGGCTAATCCTTAACAAAACGATACGTAAGCTGAATGCTCTTTTCTGCATATTGGTACTGGCTTCACTTGGCATTTCCAATTGGCGACAGAAGAGAAACGACGACTGGCGTGCCAGCGCCAAACAAGAAGTCGTTTAAAAAAAAACTGCAAACTATACTAACTACGGCACCTCGCTTACATCTTCGGACGTTTCTTAAAATTGCTGAACTTATTTAACAATCGACTACATTTCCTAGNTTTTTTTTTTTTTTTTTTTTTTTTGTAAATACATATACGAGTATTAAAGACATTTTTAATAATACATACTAAATTTACTTACAAAAGCTGTTTATTGATATTTATAATTTCTCATTTAGTTCTTACCCAGATTTAACATTTTTTATATTCTCATTTACAACATTAGCAATACAAAGCAAATCAGGTTTACTGAAGTGTAGGCTGTCGTTGCATATGCATAAGTAAATATGGTTACCAAGCATTCATATGTGTTTTACATTAGACCGGGTCGATGCCCAGCTTCTTATCTTATAGTTACCCGTATATAAAAATTAATCGCCGTTAGTCTTACGAAAGCTCGAAAACGGCTTGAATAATTTCAAATTTTTTTTGGTTCGTTTTATGCAAATATACATGATAAGTTAAATTTTCCAATATGGGCATCAAATGAGGCTTAGGAGAGCTTAGTGTTGAAAAAAAAAATTTAGGAGGCTTGCCACCTGTTTGATAATTTTACTTCAATTAAAGTTATAAGATAAATGAAATATTGCAGTACGGGTTTCAAACTGAAGAGGTTTAAGAAATCATAATTTTGAAGATATTTTTGAACATGGTTGCCATGTGCTTGAAAAATTTAATCTATTGAAATTTGTGAGGATAATGAAATGCTGTTATATGAGTGTCAAAGTAAATTGGTTTGAGAAAGCTTAGTTTGGAAAATATTTTTGAATATGGTTGCCACTTGTTTGAAAATTTTCATTCAATAAAATGGATAAGATCAATGAATTGCTGCAATTTGGGTATGAAAGGATAGGTATTTGGAAACTTTTTGGTTAAGAAATATTTTTCAAGGGGTTGTCACCTATATAAAAAGTCGAAATTTAAAATATTAAAATTAAATTAAGTATTGCAAGATGAGTACCAAACTAAAAGTGTTTGAGGAAACTTTATTAGAAGGCACTTCAAAAAATTTGAATGAAGAAAGAATTTACAACGTTTAATCAAACGAAGTGTTCAAAAATACGTTGCTCAAAAAAAAATTCAAAAGGGTTGCTACTGACTTCATATGACAGTGTTTACCGAGCGTCGGGAATAGAATTTTTGCATATATGTATAACACAAAGTGTTAAATAAATAAATGCATAAATTGCATAAAAGTAATCTTTTCATGACCCGGCTTAATGTACAGTTTATATCTTCACATACATACATACATACATACATACATAAATATAGTATTTGTATTTATAAACGGCGTGTTTTAAATAATCTCACATTAATTAAATAAGTATTTTTCTGAAAGCCGGCCGTATAAAAGGCGGTTACTTTAAGAAAATTTACATTTTAATCAATTTTATTAACATGAGTAAAACAACAATGAAATTCATATGGATTTTCGCTTTCGTTTTACTTGCGCTGGTCACACTAGCAGCGGCGCAAGATGTGCAATGTCCTGGAAGACCACGTAAAAGCCCTTTCGACTTTTGATAGAAAATATATTTTTAATTAAATAAAAATTATTATTTACCCTTAATTTAGCAACGCAACTATGTCTGAAGCCAAAGAATGTTGGTACATCCGGTCGTGGCTGTCAGCCCAGACAAATGTGGCACTTCAATGAAAGGGCGCAAAGATGTGAGCGTCTGAATTATCTCGGCTGTGGAGGGAATGAGAATCGTTTCTGCACCTTGGAGGGCTGTCGGAATTCTTGCATTTGATGGAGGAAGTCTATACAAAATTTACTTATGTATATGTACATTTACATTTTATGGGAAAAATAAGTTACAAAATTCTTTATTATGCACTTATGCAGTTTTAGCTATATTTCTTTTGTTTATTTGTTGTTTACTATTTTTTTTTTTTTTTAAATAAGTATCATACAAATCCAAAGTTAAACTTTGTATAAAAATTTAACAAAATGTATCAATTTCCAAACTTTCAATTTGAATATTAAAAAATAGGGTGTTTTATCCTATTGAATTTTAGTAGAGTTTGAATAAAATGTCATTTAGAAAAGTTGCTTATTGTGTCGAGGTACCACAAAATTTCAGTATAAAAGACAACTTACACTTCATAGCATATATTTATGCTATATAAATATGTTTAATTATTTTTATAGGTGGCAATTCTTTTTAAAAAATCTTCAAATCAATCACCCCTATTGCGAGTGTCGACTAGAAGTAGATAAACGACTATTATTCGATTATCGCTTTTCCATGGTATTGTGAACGTCGTTGTCTCATTCAATGAGTTAGTGTGAATAACTTATAGGCGATCATCATTCTACAAACAAACTGTTGAAGAAGGATGAGCGACTAAAAACTATTCAGTCGGTTATTGAACGAAAAATCGACATTCACAATACTATGGAAAAGCGATAATCGAATAATAGTCGTTTTTCTACTACTAGTCGACACTCGCAATAGGGGTGAATATCTCGCTTTTCTATCCAGGTTATTTCCATCTATGTATATAGTACTTCCGAAGAACTGTTGGTCAGTGGATTGAAAGCGTTTTTTTTGCTCAAAATATTTTTATATTCTACAGAAACGAAATGAGATAATCGAAAGCTTGTACGTTATGATTTTCGGTGTTATGGGGCTCAAACGGCAGACCAGCATAGTTATTTCGTACCTATTTTGGATCGCTAAAATAACTCATATTTTGTTTTAATCTTTCAACTCTGATCATCGTTTATTGCGGAAAGTTCAATGAAAGCTTTCAAATTTGTGCTATTGCATTTATTAGTCTAAGCACCTTTCATTCAAATAGCTTTTAAAATGTATCTGCCCCTTAAACCAGGGACCGCAACGGTTATGATCATTAGAATGAAAATCATAATTTTACTGTTAAAATTAGATTTATATTTTTTCCGATTAAAAATAATCGCTAAATTTTAATTTTGATTAAAAAGTAATAATAACGGTTAAAAATTATCGAAAAAATAAAAATCTAAATTTAACGATTATTTTTAATTGAAAAAGAGAAATTAAAAAAAAAACTAATTTTCAATTATCTAAAACCAAAAATCTTGGTAGTTAATAGGTATTTTCGATCCCCGCTTTCAACACGAATTTTGTTCTCAAAAAATCTGTTTGAAGGGCAGATAAACTTTAAAAACTACTTGATAACATAGCCTTAAGTCTAAAAACACTCTGTAATGCGATGCGAAAGAGAAATGCGATGCGATATAATTGAAAGTTAAAATCGCATAAAAAATAGTCGATTAATACCTAGATGAGCGCATCAAGAGTACAAGTGGCGAACGTAATCAGCGATAGCGAATGTTGGAATCCGGCTGCTGGTCTACCGCTCTTTACATTTTTATTTTTTTGTATGGCGGTGTAATTTAAATTAACTTTTTTACCTAATTAAAAACCAATGCATTTTTCTTCTATAGAAATAACGCCTCGATTAGTGTACTTTTTAGATTGGTTTTATCGCTTAGTTCCCTTTAGCCAGGCTACACTGTAAAGTGCATATACATATATTTGACATGTTTACGCTTATAGCTAAATTTATGCAATTTTCAATACATCATATGTTTATTTTATACGCCATGAGCTCAAAACGCCAATTCCCGCCAGTGATTCATCACAATAAGTAATCAATGCTGCTCACGGTGGGCAGGAAGCGAAGATAGGTTGCATAAAAATGTCGACAAAATCTGAAAGCAGGGTTGTATTTGTAGATATCTTAAGGTTAAGAATCCGCTTAAATTGAAATCCTATCTGCTCCTGTTTTAAAGATATCCACATTTTATATACTTCTGATAGGATATATTTGCAAAAGAGGAAGGCGTACTTCTCGATAATTAGAGCATATTTATACGAAAAGAAATCTCATAATAATAAATCTATTTCCCTTTTTTAACTCACTAAAACTGATCAAATCAATGAGAAACATTTTCATTTTTTCCTACCGAAAGAATAATTGATCGAGATTTATTGGGCGCTACCGGTATACAACTTAGATAAAACACCACAATTACCTTTTTCTGTAGCGTGAACTTTCTCATTACAAACACTTTCAATATCGCAATATATGTATGTATGTATGTATACAATATTGTATGCTATATAATACGGTAGTAATTTTTTATTAAAGGTTTGTTGCTATAAGCAAGTAGCGCAGGCAAGTCGCACTGCGCTTGCGCAAGAAATAAAAATGCTCTAACTTAGGCCAACGGTACTCCTCATAATAAGTAAATAAATTCAAAGCTTGTATGAGATTTATTTTGGTATTTATATACTCTTCTGTCAGGAAATAATGACTATTGTACATCCAGAACACAAATGCGATCATGAAGAAAATCGCATGAAAGTATGCGCTTTGTGTGTAGGGCTGCCAGACGTCCCGGTTTTCCCGGACATGTCCCGGTTTTATACTATTTGTCCCGGTGTCCCGGTCCAACCTTAAAATGTCCCGGGTTTCATTTAAGTGTCCCGGTTTTCGATTTGATTGCACAAATTTTGCATAAAAATTACTACACTGAGAGAAAAAATGCGTTGTAATATTAAGAAAAATTGTATGAATTTACTGGGGGAAATAACGAATAGTAAACATGAATATTTTTTATTTGATTATCGTTTTGAAATGTTCGTACATAAAAACAATACTTTCATACACGTGGTGTTGAATCAAACTGAACATTTGAATGCACATTTACATGTCTGGGTTAGCACGTTTTGCATAAGCAATAGTTGATGATTAATATAAGTGTGTATCTAAATACGTTAAAATGACATGCACAGAGTTTTACAATTATATTAAGCAAAAGCCAGGAGTTTTGAAACAAGCTCACAGCAACGAAACAAATGACTGATATTTTAATGTTACCTTGTATATAATTTTTTTTCTTTCGTGAAACCTATTTTACTTATAAGTACCGTGCCGTACAAAATTATTGGCTCGGAGACACTTTCATCTGATCACAATTTATAATCAGATCTTTCAGAAAAATTTTGAAAATGTAGCTTTTGAGCAGTAAAGTGCAAGTCTGAAGTTACCAGAAAATGTCGTTGATTTTTTGCAATTTTTTATTTTTTGCTGACAGTGGAAGAAACTCTCAGTAAAAACAATACCAAATATATTGCCTCGTTCAAAGCCATGAACAAAATCGTGAATACATGCTTTTCCGAAAAACAAGAGGATCTTAGTAATTTTAATAAAAATCTTAACGAACTCCGCACAGCTTTGAAAAGTACTGGATTTCTCAAACTGTCAAAATCCATATTATCCTTGAACATTTAAAGCAATCTATTTCATTCTTGAATAACGATGGTTTAGGATTATGGTCCGAGCAGGCCGGGGAGTCGGTTCATAGGGAATTCATTAAATTCTGGGATAGATTCAAAATAAATATGATTGATGAACCAACTTTTGTGAGTCGCCTGAAGAAAACTGTAATGACAGCATATATAAAAACTTAATTAAATAATAAAATATTTAAATACTAAAATGTGTAACTATATTATATGGTAAGCCAACAAAAAAATAAAAGGAAACAAAAAACAAATATAAAAAAAATAAAGCAAGAAAAAAAATATAAAAAAATAAAACCAAAAAAAGAACAAAGAGTTGCAAAGTAAGTTGGCTCCACGTGGTGCGCCTTGGAAATGATCGAAACCGGCTAAAAACTTACATAAACTTATATTTTCACATAATATATATACACACATTTACTCACACATACATTGTTGAATATTTAATGCACAAGGATGTTTTTCTCTTTCGCAAAAGTCGGTCCTATCATAACTATGTAAAATGTGGATATCTTTAAAACAGGAGCAGCTAGGATTTCAATTTAAACGGATTCTTAACCAAAAAATATCAACAAATACAACCCTGCTTTCAGTTTTTGTCGACATTTTTATGCAACCTATCTTTGCTTCCTGCCCACCGTGTGCTGAAGCTGAATACAAGTTTGTGCCTGGATTAAATGTTTGCATGCTAAAAGTGAAAAAAAAAATGTATGTATGTATGATTAATACAGACAAACGTAAAGACATACATACCTAAATGCATATTTTGCGTATGCTTTACACATACCGATTTTGCCTTATATGCGTCTTCTCTAATGCCTTATTGGTGTTGCAGTAAATATTCGGCAAATGCGATATACGCATTTGGCAAGTTGCAATAAGTTGAGACGGGTGAACAGAGGCAAAGTGCGCTGCAAAGTGTTTCATGCTATATGTATATGCGTTTTAAGCATTTTCGAAAATGAAGGTGAATATTCTTTGATTGTAGTTGTAGAATGAGAGCTGTACAGGACTAGTGAAACAATAAAAGAGAAGATTAATCAAATTAATAATTCTAAAATGATAATTAACGATTTTAAAACTTACATACATTCTCTTTAAGTGCAAGACGTAAGTTTATCTAATGGCTACTCTCTTTTTAGCTGTTTACGCAGCAATCTTCAGCTAAGTTGGTGGTTTAGTCAGCTTCTCCTTCATTCGTCAACTCCAGTCATAGTTCCAGAACGCGTGCGGTTTCCCTTGCAAATTTCATATAGGTCTGATTTGAACAGAAGTTTCGATAGTGTTTTACTGACCGTTGCCGCATGCTGATCAGATTTTTTTGAAGGAATAAAACTTTACGTGCATTATGTTTCCGATACTGATGATGATTGTGGCTGCAACCGCACCACTATAAAGGCTTTTACTATTATTTGTGTTGTTGTAACAACACGTTGCCTCCAAATCTAGCGTCGCCAGATCTCTTTCTATCCAAAAATGTGCTGTGCTTCGCAAAGTATTTATACTCCACATGTCTGAAGACATGGAACTTAGCTAATATACCAAGCAATTGCAGCGGTGTTGCAAGTTTCATCAGTGCTGTCTATGGACACCTACTTGTCAACTGCAATGAAAATAATTAAGCAAACTTACATGGTCCTACTATGTACATATATTCTATGCTCGCATATCCGCAACAAACCGTTCTAGTGTCGGCCAAAACGTGCCGCGATTATACTCAATCGACGACAATCACCGGTATAACGTTAAAGCTCCAGTGGGTATAATTATAGACAAACTCTTATCCAACTTCATTCTGGTCATTTTCTCGGCCGCCTTAGACTCAATCAAATGATAACCACATCAAGTCATGACTTAGCTCCCTTGAGCAGAGGTCTAAACAATGTGGCGCGTCTACATACATATGTACATTAGACCGTACCACCTTCCAAGCAAACAAAAAAGTTCGCCCTGAGTTGTTAAGTATTTTTGCAATGCCAATTCGAAATATTTTTTTCACTAAATCCACGTATTACCCTTTTACATTTTTCGGTGGCACCTTGGAGAATTCATATAAGATGGTAGCGGTAGTACAAAAACAAAAAATTACATGTTCATGTAGTCAAAAGTTTTCAAACGTTATCAAAAAATATCTAGTTTTGGTGTTCATGTATCCCAACAACTTGCAAAATATGGGAAATTGAAAGAGCAAAATGACAGTTCTCTAGAAGAAGTTGCAAATTTTTACTGGACACATTTTTGCCAGTAAAAACTTGCAAACGAGAAAACAGCTGATCGCATGTTGCTGGGTGCAATTGAAACGAATAAGGAAATTATTTATGGCGTTCTTCAAGTTCAAATTGACAAAAAAATAAGACTGTTTATTAGGAAATTGCTACGAGTAAACCACAAATTTATAAGCTTTTCATGAAACTTGCAAATTTTTACTGGTTTATGTTCACGAAATTTTTGGATATTTTTCTCTATTAGAGCAAATTCTCAGAAATTAGGTTACTGGTGAGTTGATGGAAAGTTACTAGATAATTTTTACATGAACAACAAACCTATTTTGTTTTTGCTTTCGGTAAACAAATGTCAAATTTCAGCTATTCTTCGCTCAAGGAAGGGTAAGTGGAAAATACCAAAACATGGTAGATGAGATCAAAGAACTTCGGAACCAACAAAATTTCTAAAAAAAATTCTAAATTGCCTTGCAAAAATACTTTAGGACTCGAGAGGTGCAAAACGAACTTTTTTTCTGGTACGGTCTAATGTACATATATAGTATAGAACATTAAAAATTCATGAATTCAAATTTTTTATCTCCGATTGTATGCAGCTAAAATACATTAGAACCGCCGAATATAAGCACATTTAATTATTGGAAACTATGCGCGCACTACGACCTACGCCATGCAACCAACTACACTACTATCACCCCGCCCCCTTTCAACTATGTACAAACTTTAATTATTATTTAATTTCATTTTAAAGCTGACAACCTTCATTGAGCTGTTTCCGTATATGGCAGCAATAAAGCCAATGCATTTTCAGAACGACACAATAAGCGTTTGTTTGTGTGAGTTTGTGTGCAACAAGAGCAAGTCAATTATTTATTTATTTATGCGACAATTTTTATCTACTTTACCAGCATCCAAACGACCGAGTAACTGGCGCTGACGCATCGCGTTCTTCAAAGAAAACCCACACACACTGGCAGCCCAGCCAGCCAAGCCAAGCCAAGTCTCAAAAGCCAACAAGTTTGCGTAAGCATCATCAACAACCGAGTGGCACGAAGCTTGAGTGGCTGCGTTTGGTTCTCCTTTAAGTTGTTTTTTTTTTTTTTTTAGATGCTGTGACATACAATATGCGCGCTATAGAATTGCAATGCGAATAGAGATTGGATTTTTTGTGTGGGCGGTCCGTAGAGCGCTGTGCCAGCCACCGAGTACTTGCACATACATACATACATGTAGGTACTTATACATGATTAGATATTTATGTAACTAGCTGAAATGATATGCCTTCTAAGCGCCTTCTTCCATCAACATTGCGGAAATGAAACACTACAGTATTTTGTTTTTATTTAATTGTTATGGTTTTATATTTATTTTAAGAATAAGTAATTAATTACATAAATATATTTTTATTCGGCCAGTTGCAGCGTAGCTATTTCTTTGTTTTTTTTTTTGGGGCATATACATAAACTACAACTGGCCGAATGACCGCATATTAACGTTTTTATTATTTACAACGCGGGTTAGTCTACAGTTTAATAAATAGTGTTTATAGATGATTAAGGAAAAAACACACGCATCACATTTGTAAAAGGTTTTCGGCAGACCGGGCACTTCGAGACCGAGGACGCGCACTTGGCGCAAGCCACTACATGACCACAGGGTAAAAACGCCGTGTTGTATTCATCAGCATAGCAAATCTTGCAGAGCTTCTCCTCGGCGATTGTTGCCTGTGTGGATTTCATCTCATCATTTGCTGCCGTTGTTGCGGTTGTTGTACACGGCACCGCCGGTGATTGAGCTGCTGCTGCTGCGGCAAGCGTTGCCTCCGTTGCTGGACAATGTTCATCTGATTCTGGTGCTGCATCTGCGGTTTTACCATTATTCATTTTGAACTTGGCCGCAACGCTGTCAATAAAACTTTGGCCCTTCAGCAGATTCAAGTAACGACATTTAGGTAACCAGAGCGCATGCTGTTCCCATGGTTCATCGTCATCATCCCAATCCTTGAGGCCACAACCACAGCTAAAGCATTTGACACGATCACCAATACCGGTGTAAAAGAAGCCAGCATCGGCCAGCTGCTTTGGCCGCTGTTTCATGTTGCGTGGCCATTCGGCGAACGAACGTAAACGTGCCGCTTCGATAGCGTACTCAGGATACTCTGGTCGATATAATTGCAATTCGTTGCCACATCTACTGCTGCTGCTGCTGTTGTTGTTGCTGACGTTGGAGTTGTTATGCGTCGCATGGCCACTCGCTATGCTATCATATTGGTAAGTAACGCCAACGGGTGCTGTCGTCGTCAGACCCTCCTCAGCGCCAGCCCCTACTGATGGCTCAGCAGCCTCATTTTCCAATTCGAGTCCCTCATTGCCACAAACATCATAACTAATGGGTGGTAAGACGCGATTCAGTGTTTCACCATTGAGCGGGACATTGTTGGTTGTGCGACGTCTCAGCAATGGGCAATTGGGTGAAAAACGTAAATGCTCATTAACGGGCTGATCTTCGCGCTCCCAACGACCGATTTCAACTTCACAAAAATAACATTTCACCTTATCATCTTCGCCCGTATAGAATAGACCAGTTTGCGCTAATTCCTTCTTATTCAGCCACTCCAATGGCCAGTTTTCAAATGTCTTTAAGCGTTCGTCTTCACGTTGATATTTTTCATCCATAGTAAATTGTTCCGGTTTCCATTGGTGATGGAACATTTCATTCGTTTTATTATCCGTTACGTCGTAGCTGTTTGTGTAGAAAAATGTTGGACAAAAGTACGACCTCAAACAGTGATGGTTCGAGTTGTTAGCTTTGTAGGTGGAAGGTTTCTCGGTTATGGTTTCAGACATTTTGCTGATATTCTCGTTTACTTTGATTACGGGAGAAAAGTCTACTACTGAGTGTTGGTAATAGTGTATACGAGCTGCGGCTATTGCTGCTGTTGCGGGTACAAGTCTGAAAGAACAATGAAAATAATAAAGGTATGGTTAATAAATTTATAGGTAAGTTTAAAAGTAGATAAAAATTGTTGACAAGAAATTATAAAATTACTAGATAAGGAGAATTGTTGCTTCTACTTTACAGAACGCTATTAACTCTCATGGTGCTCATATGCTTGCCCTGTTGAAATATTTGCATTGCAACAAGTGCGTATATACTCGTATTATGTAGTCTACGACGGAGTTTTTGAGTAGGGCATAGACCTCGAAGGTGTAGTAGGTATACTTATTGTAAATTGTCTGACCACCCTCATAAATAATTGATATTGTTCGCCAATGAGAACGAGAGTGAGGGAAAGTGGCTAACTGATAACGCAAAGCTCGACCTTTTTGAAAGATAAGATAGTGGTTGGCGCCTTCAATCCGCATTACTCACACACCCATTCACAAGAAAAATAATGTCTTTCTAGAATTTCGCTTTAATAATTCTTTATCACGATAAAAATTTCGACACTCAGGGAAATTTTGTGCAACATATTTGCTACAAGGTTTGCATGCATCCAAAAGTTAAACTTAAATACAAAACAAGCAAATTAAAATTAAGAATATTTAAACATGTCTTAGTTTCAGTGTTAAAGTTTCAGATTATTTTGCACAATTAAAAATTAGTTGATTGAATTAATTAAAATTTTTGATTTAATTATTTTTAATTTAATTTATATATTTTTTTATTTAGTTATATATTTAATCTATCTATTTATTTGAATAATTTCTTTTTTTATTTAATTTTTGAATTTATGTAGTTAATTTTTATTTATTTTTTTATTTTTTAATTTATTTTTTTTTATTTTATTTTTTTCATTTATTTAATTTTTTATTTATTCAATGTTTTATTTATTTAATTTTTTTGTTTTATTATCTTTTCCAACAATTTTTTTTAATTTCTTATTTTTTCCTTTAGTATTTTTAATATTTTTTATTTTTTTCCTTTAGTATTTTTAATATTTTTTATTTTTTTTCCTGTAGTATTTTTAATATTTTTTATTTTATTATTTCTTGAATATTGTTTTTTATATATTATTTATTTTTCTTACCCATTTTATTTTTTATATCTATTTTAAATTTTTTGTTAATTTTATTTCTTATTTTCTAATTAATCTTTAGTAAATTTTAGTTATTTTTATTACATATTGATTTTTTTTAACTTATACTTTTTCGTGTATTTATTTGCAATTATTTTATTTCTTACACTCTTATTAAAATTTTATTAAATTTGTATACTTAATTCTTTTTCTTAGTTTTCGTTCTTCTTTTCTCACGTCATTTACGTTGTATTATGCTTCGGTGTTCCTATATTTTCGCTTTGCTCTTTATACTAGTTATTTGCGACAATAAAAAACTAAAATTTACATTCTATACGTTCCGTTGCCTCCAAAGTCTCGCGCACAACTGGGCCTGCGAATGCGTTTTCTGAAAGCATTCGGTTGTCGCATGTTAATAAACAGTTAATAAATACTTAGAAAATTAATTACATATCTCTCAAAAGATTGTGTACACTGAAAAAAAAAGATTAGAAAAATTACAAAAACAAAAAATTAAAAGAACTTCAAAATATAATAAAAAATAATAATATATTCCAAATTATCGGAATTAACACTAATTTATGAAAAAATTGTTTGAAACTTAAAAGGTATAAAAAACAAAAAAATATAAAAAACTAGAAATGTATTTAAAAAGTTGTTAAAATTCAAATTTTTTAATTAAACATATAAAGAAATATAAAAAATTAATTACATATGTATATAAAAAATAGACAAAGCCATTGACGAATAAAAAATATATTTGTATGTATGAAAAATCGGAAAATTAAACGAAATAAATACCTTCGATAATCATTTTTTCTTACTCAAAATTAATTTGAAAGTTTAGCGATTTTCTTAACACGTTCAAAGCGCCATTTGCCAAAGGTTAAACTTGCATTTTTTTTTAAGTGTAAAAACTGAAATTTATGGAAAAAGGGTTGAAGATGTTGCATGCTCCCCCCCGTTTACCACTCGCTAGAATATTGCTTAGCATAATTTGTCGGATAAATAGTACATAATTGGATTGAAAGGGGGAGAAAACTGGGCAGCTCATACCGAAATTCAAAACTATATTTAAAAAGATGTATTGATAATTTCAGAATTTTTTGTTTCTATAAATTTCAGATTTTTCATTTAGGGTATTTTACATTGGTGAAGACGATGTGTACATATGTGAAATATATACATATGTATGTATGTTTATACATGCACCCAAAACGAAGCAAGTCAAAATAAAAATTATTTCTTTTTCAAGCGGTATCGATTGCCACTTTGTAGAAACGCTTTTTGCTCGCCTTCCAGTTAAGAGCTTATTGGTTTATTAATATTATTATTTATGACTACTAATGCATATACATACATATGTATTTTCGTTCGTAGAAAAAAACCACTTCACCCCCAAAGCCACAACTCACTCCTTTTTCCATAGAAATATTCATGCTATGCACTATTTAGTTTTTATACAAAGAATTTTTATCTAATTAACGCTTAAAAATACTACATTTGCGCAGCTAGTACACAATTGCAAAATTATGTAATATTTTTTGCACGGAATATTTTTTCACTTTAAAATTGTTTGTCTAGTATGTACCTTCAACACGAACGACGACGATTATACGTAGTATGTATACATGAAAGTTGACGAAGTCACCATTCAACAATAAATGCTTTACACGAAGGCAATGACTAGCGGCGCCATTTTTATTTTCACTTCCTTTCTTATTTTACACTTTTGGCAAGTTCAGAGAGAATAATCGGTATATATTTACTATAAAATATATTTTCTGCGTGTTAACTTCCGATAGCTGTAACTATGACTGATGTATCCTGACGATGGCTGCTTGATGACTGAATCCTGGAAATGGAAATGATGAGCCAAGCTAAGGACGAACAACGCAAAATGAGCGAGTAAAAATGCTGCAGCGCAGGACACTATTGCCACGCTGCATGAGTGTACGTACGACGGTAGGTAGTGATGATTAGGGGTGGAATCTCAAGCATGCAGCACCCTTAGCGCCAGACAGCTGCCCGTTATGTACACATACATATGCTCGTTGCTCTCAGCCAGCCAAGGTGTCAGCAGCAGCAGCAGCTGCAGCTGCAAGAAACTTCCTGCATGTGGGAAGGGGGCTAAAGTGTATGGCATCCGTCGGCAGTGCTAGCGGCAGCGATGACGACCACCGCGAAGTTTCACGAAATTTTGTTAAGCTTCAGCAATAGCGCGTCGACGATAAAACGCTACGGGCGTTTTCCGAACGAGTACTACGTCAACGATGATGAGATGACGAACGTGCTCAGAGCAACCGAAGCTAACAAGTTACTGTGGCTAAGAACAGTGCACGCTGGAGCATTCGGACACTGCATTGGAGTACGCAACACAAGTGCAAAGTACCTACACCGTCGTGTAAGCGTAAGCCGGAAAATTACTCATAAGCGAGCAACGACCGACGACCAACCGAGATATAGGGTAGACCAACCATAAGCCAAAGCCAGCCGCCAAGTCGCTACGACCGCGGTAAATAAGTACACATATTTTTTTTGCTAATGGAGAATTCGCAAATCTCTATTTACGCTAAGGGTTGTTGACGCTGCTGGGAAGAAAGTGTATGCTTTTTACGAGTCATAAATCACACGCTGAGTGCCATTGGAACGTAGTGTATGCATTCAGCTGCGCAGGACATTTCCAGCACAGTAATGGCGGCCAGCCAACGACCAGCAACATAACATGTCATCGGCAACAACGACGCAAACCCGGCAAGGACGACGACCAAGAGGATGTGAATGCAACCGCAAAAACATGCAACAACATAATGACCATCTTAGGAGAGCCCTGAACGGTGGGGTTTTTTAATGTATATACACAATAATCAATGAACCCTACGATGAACGACCTCGGCGGCGGAAAACGGCGATGGCTACGGCACCGACCAGCTAGTTGTAGACGAGCTCGCTGAACGGCGCAAAAGATTGTACGAATAGAGTTTTAAATGTTGCAACGTAGTTAGTAGAAATATTTGTGGTATTACTCCGGTAGAGGGGAAAGGGGTATTGTCAGACGAAAAGCGCATAATAACATGCTGCCTTGGCTTTCACTCTGCGGTGTGGAGGTGGTTGTTTAAATTGCGATTTTCTTTTTTTTTCAAGCCAGCCATTGTATGCAAGAAAAAATTCACTGTATGGCGTTGAAGTGAAATGTGGCAACATAGCAAACTTATGTATATATATGCTTGGTATGAAAATTTGTTTGGTTATTGGGCGAGTTGCAGGAAAGAGGAGACGTACGATAGCGTTTGTAAAGTAAAGAAAATAATATTTTCGGTTGTGGTAAATAAATATGAAATTAGAGAATATTTTTAGGTAAATTATGACAATGGGAAATTTTCGGAAAGCTTTATGTAAGAAGTCGAAATTATTTGCGGGTTAATCTCAAATATGATTTCTATAAAAACATAGAAAAATTTTCACCATGCGACCACAAAATCCTGTACGCACAGACTTGTGTCAACAATTAAAAGTAGAAAACAATTAAGTAAAAAAATAGTTATTCGGCTTTCTATTTATATTTTAACGATCCTAGTCGTTAATTGCTTACTCGATGAACTTTAGTAGGGTTGACTTTAAGTAGGGCTTAACGTGCAGTGATGGTATCTAGAGACTGCTGAAAAATTAAAAGATTATTTTAAAAACTTTTTTTTTATAATAGGTTTGTTTTTTTTTTTGCCAGCCCGCGAGTGCCCGACAGTGGCCATTTTGTTGGTTCTCGTACTGTTGAGAGCCACTTTGAAAGAGTTGTTTTTGTTTCTCACTAGCCCGAGATCACCCGAACAATTTTTCCGGGCGAATTTGTGAAAACTGTCAAACTGCGAGAAGAAGAGTAAGAATTATAAAAATTCAAATTTTAACCAATAAATATTGCTGTTTTTCTTTGATTGATAAGTGAAGAAACCCAACGTTATTGCGTTCGCTGGCCACGTTTAGTTTCGGCTTGGGTTTTCAACGTCCCTGTGGTTCGTGGCAGTATATTCACTTTTGTGAGATGATCATTTGCCCGAAAATGTAAAAAACAAACCTTATGATTCACCCCCTTTTTGTGTACTCCTTGATAAATCTCTGAGCTTCGTAGGAAATGTAGTGAACTAACTACCTTGCCGGGCTTTAAGGCCAAATTAGATTCTGCTCATTAAAAAAAAATAAAATTAATTGCAAGCCATATTTGACTGCCGAAAATTGATTTTCTGCAATTTAAATTGAAAAGGATTGCCGACAAAGACAAAATTTCGAAACCAACAAAAACAACGCATACCTACTCGTCTGAACGTCCGTTCAATCCATTCCTTCCAACTGACTTACAACAGCCAGTCGCCAAAAGTCAGGCAAGCAACATATTGAATTTTCTCGAAGCAGGCGATTGTATGTGAATTGGATTGGATTGGGTTTCATGTAGGTATTCAACAAACAACATTGCAATTGCAGCAGCAACTACGAGAAATTGCTGTTAGCAAGCAAAAAAGCAGCAACAACTACAAAACCAAAGCCAAGCCAATGGAGTCAAGCCAGTCGCTGGGCAATACTAGGAACTCGGCACTCGGCGGCACCAGTTACCAGCAAACAATCAACCTATGTAGCAGCGCGAACCAGCCAGTAAAAGGCAACCAACCAACCGTACCGACAACGATGACGGCAACAGGGACGTACGCGACGAATGCCACACCACCAACAACTTGGGGGCATTTGCAGCAGACTGTGAGAAAGTTTCAATGGAATGCAGTCAAACAGCAATTTGAGTGCAACATAAAAACAACGCAAGCGACAACAACAACAACAACAATGCAAGCGACAGCAAAACAATTGAAGTGGCAGCAAAACCAAAAGCAATACCAGCAACAACAACAACAACAACAACAAATGCTACTCATACTTGACTAAACGAATTGCTGCAACCAGAGGCAACCGACTCGCTGGCGCAACGCTTGAACGAGTGCGCTTACATACGCCAGAAAGAGTTGGCAACAACGAACGGGGCAACCAGCCACGCAATGCAAGAAGAACCATCAATGGAAACATGAAAAAGTCGAGTTGATGATTTTGTGTGGAGTGCAAGCACACCACACATACATGCACTACCACCCAACAATAGCGCTAGAGGGTTTTTTTTACATCCCGTGACGAAAAAAGTGTAAAAAAACATGCATACATACATACATACCTAGAAATAATAATTCAACTCATCACAAGCAGACGGCAACAATGCATGGGTCGCCAACATCTGTATGTACACATGTACATACATATATGTAATGTATATGCTGTGGCGATTCTAGAGTTGTCTGGGAGGGTGGGGGGAGAAGGCTAGCTAGCGCACACGGTGTAAATTAGGGATGTTAATTTTTCAGCTTTTTCAGATCCCGTGATTTTCGGGACTTAGATATTCATTATTTTTCAACAACTTAAATCGCAAAAAATTGCTTCTACCTCTCCTACCATACAAAATCACAAATAAATGGGTTTGAAACCTACTTTTTTATTTAAAGTGGCGTTTTTAAGATTTATTTTAAAGGACTTTGTAATTTCAAAGATATGATTACTTCCGAAAATTATCTAAAAAATTCAATGCAATGTAGAATAAAAATATGGGTACCAAATGCCATAGGAAATTTCTTTAGAATTTAAAAAATTAAAATTTTTTGAATTCACAAGGACGAATAGGTAATTTTTAAGCTGATAAAGTTAGAAAAATTAAATTCGAAGATGTTATCGAGTTTATATAAGTCCTTAACATATATTCTTTTCAAAAACAAATACTGCAAAATTTCAAGGATAAAATTTTAAAAGGGCATTTTCAATACTGACCAGCCCTTCTGCACCACAAACTCGAATCTGTTTAAATTCTACAGGATTTCCTCATTAATTTGTTACCCATTTTTCTTCTCTAAGTACATTTCTCTGATTTTTTTTAAATCATTTTTGAATTACGGACGTCAGAGTGAAAAACTAAAAACGCAATTTTACTATATTTGGCCCATGGTTTCGCGAATATATTGATATCTGTGTTTAAAATTTACTATCGCGCAGTGTTATATGTATAATGAGCTAGACATTTATAAAAAAATATTAATTATAAAATAAAATAAAAAAATATAGCCAATACTGGTCAAAGGAGTTTCTATTACTGCCATCAGTGCAAATTACAAATCCGTGAAAATCCCGGGATTACTTGCAAAGAATCCCGGGATTTTCGGGACCTTAAAAGGCCGGGATCCCGGGATCCTAGTGCAAATGCACAAGTAAAGTGAAGCAACGAGTTGTCATACATATGCAATAGTAGAATGATTGCGAAAAATTTGGCTGGACAAAAAATAAAATAAAATAAACTATTTTCTTGGAGCTCCAAAAATTGTACGCAGTTGCAAGGCGACCAGTGCGACGAGAGGGGCATGTGGCTTAATGGAAGCTGTGGATTCGCGGAACGAGGGCGGGGGACCATAGAGGAGTGCAAGCATTGAGTATTTATGGGTTGATGTTGAAAGAATTGTTGGTTGCTCGTTATAGTGGATTTTTGTTTGTGTTTGCGGTACAAAATCGAGCTTTGTCAGCGCGAGTATGAGCTGCTTAATAGAGTAATGATGATGATGATGTTGATGGGGATGGGTCCAAAGGTACAAATCATTGCTTGGCTCAAGCTGCAGGCAGCTCGTCGTAGACTGCAGAAACGATCCAAATGTAAAACGAACAAAGCGCCAATGTTGTTGGTGTTACCGTTAAAATTAATATTGTTCGGTTGTTAGTGCGCGGCCGCTGGTGCAATGGTAAAGCGAGTACGTTAATACATATGTATACAATACAACAATGTACAAACAAACAGCATTAATAATGCAATTGGTTATTTTTTTTGCTTGGTTTTTTTTCGCTCTCACCAAATACATACACATGTAAAGCGCCAGTTGAAATAAAAAAAGCTTAAGCTTCGCTAAACAATAAAAAGTAAAACAGACTACTACCCTGAGTGTAAACAGCTGCACAGCAAACCACAAACAGCTTTCAGATAGAGAAAAATATGTTTTGTAATCGCATTTATTGTTTTTATATGAATAATAATAAATTTTTTTTTATAAGCGCTCGGGTAAGCAGCGAGAGGCAGAGTTTGCATTAAATATTGTTTTATATAAAAACCCACCGATTTCCTTGGAAATAGTGATCTTTTTACTTCAGTTGCGGTTAGCGAGTTTAATCGCCTTTCGACGAAACACACATACCTTTTGGTATTCAATACAGACTTTTTATGAAATAAATGTTTGTCACTACTTGAGAACAGCAGCGGTTAAACCCCTGCAGGGCCCTGGAAACACAATAAAAGCGACATGTAGGGGGTCAGTGAAAAATATATGTACAAGGAATGAAAGACATGCTAACCTCACTTTTCAATATTTTTCCCAAACTGCCTATTAAATATTTTACAACGTTATATATACCAAAAATTCGCATAAAAATATATTTTTTCCAAGTAAAAACTTACATTAAATACTAACAGCTGCTGCAGCAATCCAAATTCAATTCGTTTTAATTGTCAATCGAGTAAATATTCGCTTGTACACTTTCCCACGAATGTTCACGAACAGTTCATACGAATATATTTCGTTTCAAGTATTTTTTTTACTACGTATTTTCTTGCTCAGTGCAGTACACACTCTAAATTAGTAAAATTAACAAAATAAAAACTACTTAAAACAATTTTATGCAACACAGATTTTCATTATTTATTAGATAACAATTTTAAATTGCTTTTTCTCTTCGTCTAGTATTTTTCACAAACTATGTATGTAAATATTTTCCACGTTTTTCTTTGCTGCCTTTATGTTGTAGCTAGATG